AATCTTACAAGCAGCTAACACAGTGCTCCTCAACAAACACAAGGGAAAGACATGGAAGCACGGTTTTAGCATATGCGCGGCGTGCACACAACAGCACACTTAAAACACACACATTCTCATTTCCCTACTCTATTATTCACTTATTATCATGCTAACAGTTCCAGTCAAGCTCTGCTAATTGGGGAGGTCTCAGATATTCTCTCTAACAATGTCTTCTTTCTTTAATAAGCCTCACACTGAGAAAATCATCTGAGCTGGGGAAACAACAAAAGCATCTGAGAATACACAAATTAGTGCTATTATCTTGATGTAATTACCATGCAGCCCTGTGTTTATTTAAAGTTGTTCAATTGATGTAAAATATTTACCATGATAGTGTAGTTTAGGATGTTTTATTGGTATCAAACAGAATAAGATCAAGGAATTACCAGACTGGGATGTGTACCATTTTTGTGCCGATGGATTTCATTGCATGAGTTTTGATGGTTTCTATGGAAAAGTGCTCGGCAGGGGCAGAGACTGGTCTGATGATAAATGATGCAACAGGACTACAACCCTGACCCTGAAACCCTTTAAGCTAAATCACACTGGAATGCCATAACAACAAGAATCTAAAACCATTTTAGTGCTGAAGCAAAACCTGGAGTTTGAATTTGAGGCGTTTGAGCTGATTTTGATTGAGTTTTATGCAATCCACCCCACTTCTGTGAAAAATGTGAAAAACAAACTCCAGAGCTTAAAATTGTCTTCCTTCCAAAACTACTAAGACCTTGTAATTCATTGTTTATTACGTTTGCATCATTTGAGCGTGTGTTTGCTGACTAAATTCACACTTGGAGTAAAACCAGAAGGAAACGTGATTTCAGGAATATTCAGGAAAGAAAATCATTTTGAAAAAGGCGTTTAACGAAGTCGACTTTGGTTTTCTCGCAGAAAAAATGTGACTCTTGTGCAGCTGAGAAGAAAACTCACAATAAATTGCATCTCCAAGCAACTTCTAATTTCCTGTCATAGTGTAAAACATCAAAACAGCCACCTGACTCTCAGGTTCGAAACCTGATTTTGTAAAATAGTGAAATACTGGCACAGTTCTTAATTGCCTTAACACAACGGTCCTGGGCATCTTTTTTTAATTTAATTTTTTTGTAGCTGTAAATATTTCTTGTACAGTATTTGACTGGTATTGTTGTGCTTTGCCTCATCTGTGTGCACGTTAAAATCGGTCTCTATATCCCTCATCTTTTATTGTTGGGCAATGTTAGCGTAATTAATTTTTCTCTTTTAAATCTTGGGACCTATTAGCATTGAACTCCTGAATGCCCCCCACTGATTCTCCACCTCATTAAAGACATGTGAGAAAGCCTCAGGGACTTTGAAGTGTGCAGTGGACAACAATAAACTGGCCTTTTTTGGCTTTAATCTCTGTTTTCCCTTTTTAAACAGCTCAGATAGACACATGCTGAGTTTATGTGTCCTTGCGGACACAAGGTTAAAGGTAGGATGTCCAGGCACAGATACTGCGTGTGTCGTAAGGTTAGAGTTTAAGGCCAGGTCACGAGCAGGAAGAGAACAGAGGGGCAAAGGGAGATAACCAGAACCAGACCCATGTGATCATTAAAGGTTTCAAAAACAACCGTGGTTAAATTGAATCTTGCTGACAATGATGCACAAAGTCCTTCTTTTTCTTAGATCCCACATGTGTGCCACGTTCAATGACAAATAACATTGTTATGATATTGTGGCTTTTAAATGGCGTTTAATGATGTTTAACATTTAAATTAAATGCTCTGGATAAAAACTATCCCTCTATTTCATCTGTGAAGCTGTTCATGTTCTGTTTATGAAGATAAAGTTCACCCTGACCTTTCAGCCAGTATTTATCCTCTTGATGTGTGTGTGTGTGTGTGTGTGTGTGTGTGTCAGTGTGCATGTTTTTCTGCACACGAGCACCTCTGGGTAGATGTGTATTGCTGCAAGACAGTCATAAGAGTTTGTATCTAAAATCCTTAAAAGAAAAAAGCCTGAAGTTTGATTTTTTTTTTTTAGCACGTGAGGTGGCATGGCTCCAGATAGAACTGTAAATTTATCTTCACATAATTTTATTTGATTTGATTGCATGCTCAGTAAATAGCAAATAAATAAAGTGCCTTTATTAAACAGAACCTCAGAGAGATAAGTAACATATTAAACAAACTAGTTATCAGTTAATATATATGTTAAACTGTCACATGTGTCTTTAGAAAAATCTGGAGTGGTGTTTCAAATTTTCAACTAAATCAGTTAATCTAATCCTTGGATTGAATTAATGCCAAGATGATTTCGGAGATGAAGGGATAGACTGAAGGAATACAAAGATGCTGAGGGACACAAAGCCTTGAGCTTTAATTTTTGATAAGCCTCTAACACTTCAATCTGCTATCTTAAAACAAGTGACATTGTAATCCTGCGGGACAAAGAGTAAATCTCTCTCCCTCTCTTTTAAGCATGACGAGAAAAGGATAAAAAGAAAGAGATGGCTATTCAAAAAGGAAACTTAATTGAATTCCTTGTTGCCTTGCTCCAAAAGCAACTAAACCTCTATACCCGCACACTTCTGACAGATTTAGTCTTCATGCAAAAAGCCCTTGAAAGCAGACGCATAGCGTGCCAACAGCAGCCTCCTGTTGCAGTCCTCGTGGTTTTATTGTTCGGGCTGTTCACAATGTTCACCATGTGATCACTACCATCATCAATATGATGCCTTAGCAAGAGGCTCTCGCTTGGCGTTCTCCCTGAAGCTAAACAGAAGGACTTTGATAGCAGTAGGGTCTCCAATAAAGTTTAGTGCTTTCCATGATAACAGCAGTCACTCGGTGCCTCAGCACTGCTTGTCTTGTAGCTAAAAGTCTGTTACACACAGACTGGAAGCTTATGTAGACAACTAATTAAGTCAGAGCCGTTCTATAGAAAGATGGCCCGGGCCACGTTTAAGAGACAGCGGTAATGGAACGAGAGCGGCAGAAAATATTTCACTAATTTGGCCCTGATGCTTTTATCTGCTTGCCTTGACACTTCATCACCACTCTGGATATTTGGAGGAACCCAGTTAGAGGAAAAAAGGACATGCGCTGTTTTAAATAACTTGTTGGATAAACAATGTTCCACGAGGTGAACCTTGGCTGGTATCCCTGCAGCAGAGTCAGGGAACATTGATGGGCAGCAGAGCAGATGGTCTGGACACGGGATTCTTTTAGTTAATTGTGGATGTGCTCCTTTTTAATCCTTCAAGATCCGAGGCACATTTTGTCAAGGGAAAAGCTGGATAACTGGGCTCTGTAAGAAATGGCTCTGCTTGTATCTCTGTTCAAGTGTTTGAAAGTGCATTCCAATACACACTCAAATCTCCAAGCTCTTATTAAACTATGCATCAAGAGGAATCTTCAGGTATCATTTGCCTGTAAATTTGTGATAAAATCAAGAGCCTCTTAACGTGAGATTTTTAAGGGCTCTGCCCTTATGCTCATTGAGCATAAGTAAAGGGTCCTCTATGATACGAGTATTTCTAGCTCCTCAACAGTCTACTTCATCGATGAGTGTTTTCCACACTTTGAGCTTGTCTTTAGTAAACTGTAATGTTGAACCCTTTTTCTAACGACTTTTCTTTATCTAAGTAAAAAGTTACATTGACTTCAACAAGATGGTTAGAATACTCTTTATCTTTTTGAAAATGCAACTGATGTCCTGAATTGATAAATGGACTGCACTTATACAGAGCACTTTTCTATCTGATCAAGATACTCGGAGCTCTTTACATCACAATCTGTGTCCTCATTTACCCGTTCATACGGTACTAGAGCTATACAAAGAATAAGCAGAGCTTTATCACATCCATACACAGATGGGACGCACATCGGAGGCATTTAGGGGTTCAGTGTCTTGCTCTGGGACACTTTGGCATGTGACTGCTGGTGGAATCGAACCCCCAACTCTCGTATTGGAGGACGGCTGCTGTAACCGCTCAGCCACAGCCGCCCCTTCACTGTAAACTGATATTTGAAGTGAACACTTGTTCAAGTCTGAGCTGTGTTTAGTACTCATGTGATGCAAAGGAAAAACTGCTGCTTTACAAATTACAACAGGTGGAGTCACTCATAAAATAATAAAGGTTCAAATTACAATGAAAAGGCTGTAACAGCAAGAGAGTGAGATGTTTTGGCATTGTTGCTGTAGGAGCAAGTTGCTGCAAATCAATGTTTAATGAAAGGAGAGAGTAGGGAGCGTTGACTGTTAGAAGAACAAGCGCAGGAGGAGGAGGCGAACGGAGAAGGATGTGCCTGACACCAAACACACCCGGTGGGGAAACATTAGCTTCAAAAAGGTAACCAAGTTCACAGCCTTGACCAGTGCAAGTGACCAACCATAGGAATGTCTGTGCAGTTTGAACAGATCCAGCTACATTCACTGCCTGGGTGGTCCTGCACAGCTTCTGTGTTCTGCACCACTGTGCACCCAAACAAACATGACTAGCATGTTAGAACCTGGCATAACAGCAGGAAATGTTTTAATCTTATTTTATTTTATTTCATTGGGTTAACAGGTTAGGTAAATCAGGAAGAATGCAGAAACGGTGATGACAAAGTATCTTTCAGCAGGTTTTGGGAATCACCTTCACTAATCAGGAATGAACTGAATTCAGAGGCATTCACGGGCATCTTTCATGTCCCCCTTGTCCAGCCTCTTCTCCACAATTAGAACATGTTAGATTAGGATTAGGAGGTGTGAATTATTCAATTCCACATTTTACAACCCACCTGATTACTCATACATAACAGTCAGTTAACGTTTGAGGAGAATGATGAAAGTCAGTGTGATACGAGTCCTTGGTGTGCTCATATGCAAGAAGATGTATGTATGGATGGATGTATGGCTGGATGGATGTACGGATGGATGGATGGATGGATGGATGGATGGATGGATGGATGGATGGATGGATGGATGGACGGACGGATGGGTGCACTGACCTGGATCTGCTGCTGGAGGAGGTTGATTTTGTGCTGTTGCTGCAGAAGCTGCTGTTGTTGTCTAGCAATCTGGTTTAAAAACAAAGATAAAGAGAAATTGTTAATTATCTAAGACTCTCGTTAACTTTATGATAAAAATATTGAAGTCATGTTAAATGGAAGAAGGTCTGTGTAGTAAATTATGTGCCGAGACAATAAATGACATTCTATTCTGCTTAAAGAAACAGTGACATTTAAACAAAGAGTGTACGAAGAAATGAGCACATTTTAATGATGATAAGTCAGAAGATGTTCTTTATGAACATAAAACAACCTGTGCAGAAATAAGAACTTGTGGAAGAGGAGCCTGAATGATTTACAAGATGACAAATGTGGTTACGATGGAGATCTCTGGTGCAGGCGGAGTGTGACAGACGTCCCTGCTGCCCCTGAGCTGCACCACCATTTTTCTTATTCCGCCCCTGCCTCCTTCTACAGGCTCACTTCACTGAGCATGACAACCGACTTTTAAGTGTCATTTAATTTTCAATTTTAAATATAATTACAAAGTGTTCACTGTAAGATATCTGCCGTCTGCAAATGTGTCAAGATTAATTTGTGCTGGCTTCCTCACAAGTGTCAACAGTTAATTACTGTGTTGTATCTTGATGACTTGATGACATTCGGTCTCTGCGGGCTTTCCCTTTCCCCAATTTATAGATATTCTTCCATTTTTTAAATAAGATCAATTTATTTTATAATGCTGCTTAGTCATATGTCTACAAAGTCTAAAGAGAGGAGTGTGTGTAGTTTGCACATGGACATCATTGATTAAGAACTAAATCAATACTCTTAATGTATTATTAGTGTACTTTGACCAAATGTATCATTCCAAGGTATGTGGTCTATTTCTTTTTCTGCAACAGGAAGGTCTTAGAGTGGGCTGTGAAAACTCTGAGTGAACTCCTTGCTGATAATTGACTCATAGCCATTAGAGTGGCTGTTGATAATAAAAGTGTCGCCCGTGTGGATAGTCTGTGTCCTTATTTCTTCCCAGACATTAACACACTTCATGGCCTGTGCTAATTTGCTGATTTGTACAATATGGCTCATTGGCCTGATTCGTGCCGCAAATCTAATGCCTAGCTTGTTATAATAGGAGCCAATTTATAAGATATAGAGGACTTCCCATGTTTAATATAATGTTTATTTCACACATTGGCTCACATTTGTTGGTACAAGTCATAATAACGCTTTTCCCACCACGCAGCATAAATGCAGCCGAGAGAGCATGACTGAAATATTAAAGGCAACACAGAGTGGGGTCTCTTAAATATATCATTCTTATGAATTTTAAGATTTCACTGGCATACCTCAGGCATGACATACAAAAGTTAAGTGACAAATACATTTACTGACGTTTAATAACGAGACAAAAAAAAGATAAAGTGAAGAATATAAAACGAGGAATGGAAATGAATGTAGCAAATGCGGAGGACAAAACCGTAAACGGTTACCTGCTCCTGCTGTTGTCGGGCCAGCTCCATTTGCTGCCTCTGCTTCTCCATCTGCGAAGCGGCGAGTTTCTTCTGCTCGTCATGAGCAGCCAGAAGCTGCTCTCGCAGGCTGATCAGCTGCGAGATCATCGTGGAGAGCTGGTGCTCCTTTTCTGCCAGGCCCTCTGGAGTACCTGGTGAGTGACCGTAGAAATCCAAAGTCAGGGGTGAAATGAATAAACACAGCCATAAAATAACGTGTTCTGAACACCTGACGGAAACAAAGCGAAACTGTTTCATTGTGTCTGATTTTCTAACCAAGCTCTTTGGAAGAAAAGTGCTGAAGGGTCTTGAGTTTGTACAAAGCTAAAATTAGAAAAGTGGCCATGCTGCACACACCAATCATCACATTGTGCCATTGTAGTGTACACAATATTTAATACAAAGAAAACCACACAGGAAGCAACCGACTGCAGTGAATTCACTCGAAAGTGTTAAGGTCACACACAGCCTGGAGTTGACGATCTTTTGCTGTAGCTGGTGTTCACAGCTTTCAGCGGAAGAAAGAGAGGGAATTGTTTCCAACATGCAGACAAAGAGCTGCAGGGAGCTGTCAGGCCGAGGTGGCAGACTTCCAGGGGTTATTGTCCAGAAGGTGTTAAGAGTCACTGTTTTCACTGGACTCTAAACCAAACAGGTTATAGACACGACAATCATTTTAGACTGGATGTTTCTTGCAGAATAACCAACTTAAATTTGTCAAATGAACATGACGAAATTAAGACTTACGGACACCAACTGGTGCAAGGGCTTTGAATGCACGACAGCAACCATGTAGAGAAATTCAACACACTCGGACTCCTGCATGTGCAAAGAAAACGAGCGACCACTCTACAGCCTCCTGACCACTCTGTGTGTGACAGAGAGCGGCTCTGCTGCACTGCTCTCTCTCTCTCTATGCCTAATCAATGCTAAGTGATCCTACCATTGACTTACACAGCCAACATAATTGCCAGTGAGAGGCTAGACAGTAACTCACTCCCCTCCTTCTGCACTCCGGTGTGACAAGCTGATCCTGGAGAACACACAGAAAAACTGAAAGGAAACCAACAGAACAGACAATCGGATGGAATAAGAAGGATAATATTGATGAGATCCAGATAATAGTTTGGCAAAGCATGGCCTGGGGCCAGTGGAAACTGAATTCCTGTCGGTGTCTTCCTCTTGTCTCTGACCACATCTGTCTTGAGGTTCTCCAAGAGCTCCCAGGGGTCCTCTCTACTCAAACTATTTTAATTTGACTAAACACCTGATTTATTCTATCTCTCCGATGAGGAAAGCCGTTTGTCTTAATAAGGCTTGTCAACCTTCAAAACCCATTCAGGGCAATTTACTGGCAGGATTGTCTGAACTTCAGTTCGCCCCGCTCTGCCTTTGCTGCCTGCTGCAATAGGCGGGAGCCGTAATTCTCCATTTATCCTTCTAACAACAAAAATAACCTAAAAGCATCTATTCATTGGGCCCGTGGGCAGTCTCCAAGGCCGGAATTGACTTCTTATTCACCCGATTACACTTGTTGTGAATGGTTTATCTGTAAAATTGATACGATCAGTGCCATTTTTATTAACCTTTGGCTGTTCCTGTGATGAAGCTCCTTTTACAGGTAACCAACAAGAGACATTGGGTGATGTGACAATAAATCACAACTATCCATAATGCTGCTGGAAGGAGGAAGAGGTGCATGCACACAAAAAAAGGACAGAAGAAGAGAGAGAAGGACACAAGATAAAGAAAAGCCCCTTCAGGCCTTAGACGAAGACTGTGAGGCGAGAAAACACAACTCATCTTCTCCTCTACGTCTTTCTGAAAACATGTGCTGGTTTACAAAATTACAACAAAAAATGTTACTAAAAATGGCAATCATATCAGGAATCTACTGTAGTTCTTTTGAAGTGTGAGCACTAATTTGCAGGGCGACACGTGCAAAGGATCTGATGGGCTATCCTCAGAGCGGGCGCCTCATCCTGCCCAGGCACCACAAGAATACTAACAGAGTGCCCATTGTTATAATCTTCAACAGAACTGTGGGAACTCCAACGTATCCTCCTCAGTTTGAGACTTATCTCGGTCAAAACCTTGGGCCAAACCTGTTTCGGGGTTTTGTTTTTTTGAAACATGTACAGGACTTTAACAACAATTCAGAGAAGTGAACGCTCAGGGTGACATCTTTATCAAACAACAGGGAAGTATTTCACCTTAGAGACTGAACACAGCTGAGCAGAAAATCAAACGCACATGTTTTTTTGTTGCTTGGCTTGTGTTAAAATCTCTTTCTTCCTGCTTTAAATTATGGATCAGCTTTAAAATGCAGATAAAACTTTTATTGGGTGGTACAGAAGAGGGGAGTCGTGGTTTGTGTCTGACCAGCCTGCTGACAAAAGAGGCCGTTTCCTGCATATTGCATGGCTTTTAACAGCAGTGGGGATGAGGTCTGCCTGTTAACATGTCTCCTCACATTGCACTTCCAACGGCAGACAGACAGCTCGGAGGTGCCATGGCGCTACATAAACCCCAGCAGCCAGGCCAAACCTAACAAGTTGTGACATCCCTCTGGTGGACTACTGAGGCCTGGTACACCAGCCCAACACCAGACAAACAGCCCAGAGTGAGTGGTCAAACTGCACAGGCATATTTCTGTTGTTCTCCAGGCCAACTTCAGAATTACTTGATGAACTCCTAGAAGGAGGAGACCATAAAACTGTGTTGCGCAGTTTCAGCCCATTTATCTTTCACCTTTTGAGATTCCTGCCTCTTCTAAACATCACAAAGTAGGGCAGAAAACATCAACGGGTGACTAAATAAATGATAAGAGAAAAACAAGCAGAGCCATGGTTGCTCTGGGATGGACTAGGGTATTTGAGCCTTGGGGTCTTCAGATAAAAGGCACTTTGTAGGGGTGAGATTTGTTTTGTCCAATACCCACATCTCCCTCTCTCTTGGCTCCCTCCTCACTGCTCTAATCAAGCAGTCTCTAATTTGGGTTCCAAGTCCAGTACCGGGGAAAAAAGAAGGAGGCTTGTTACTTTGAAGAGTCTCGAGTGAATAACACAGATAAAAGATTCAGGCACAAAAAAGAAGAAAAGCACGGGAGGGTGAGGGTGAAAAGGGGGGAAATCACAAGGCGCCCTATTCTCTGCTCTTCCTTTTGGTTAGGACAGCTGAGCCATTATGACCAGGTCTGAATTGAGTATTTTAGCACCAGAGGACTGGAATTTCTTTGTCTCTCTATCAGTCAGCTATTATGGATGCTTCCATATGCTGGAAACCCGTCATAAGTAAATTTGGATTTTTCTAAATGCTGCAATTGTACCAAGCTGCAGCCGCACACACTGCACATTGCTTGAATGCCATGCGTGCTGAGGCTCTCTGTCTTTACTCTACCCCCAAAACGTGTGAGAACATAGCCACGTGTGTCCACAGATGTGTGTGGCAGCCTGCTTCAGTCAATAAAAGTGCATGGTGCAGGTGTGTGAACTCTGCCGTCACCTGATTCTTTGTCCATCATTTCTGAGAGACTCCAAAGGAGCCGCAGCGAGCTGCACTTGTTGGCACCTTCTTTAGTGTTTAAGTCAGATTATTTTTCTGCAAACACAACTCTAAAAACCCACTGGATTATAATACTTCATGACATAATGGAAGACAAACAGATAATTAAATCAAAAGGCTTTATCAGTCTTTTTTAAAGCATTAGTTAAGCATTAGTTTTTTGGCTAAAAAGTAGAGAATCTTTATTGACAGAAAACATAAAAGCTCAACAATGCTACAAGGCCATGTGTGTTTCCTGTAGTGTGGTGTCTCCGTGTCCTAAAACCAAGACAATATGAGCAACAGCTGTTTTACCTGGCTTGCTGCCTTTGCTATGATACAAAAGCCGTTAATCTTTCCAATAAAACCTCATTAACGAGCAGAAGCAGTGAGTTACAGGCATGTCAGCAGTTACTCTCAGTCTTTACCTCTTCCTATACCTGCTCACAATCTGTCAATCATTGGGTTTAAAAAAAACTACTAAAACTGTAAAACCATTTAAACTGACATGAATCTGGATGTTATGGTGTTACCTGCTCAGCAGCAGTTTAAGACTGGCATGTGAAGAGGCAATTAATAAAAGCACACTTCACCTGCTGTAATTCCTCTGGTCATGGTGAATGCTGATGGATGTTAGTATATTTTGATGATGGGGAAGCCTCACTCTTCAGTTTAATTATGCTAATGTGATAGCTCCAGCACTTAGCTGTCTCTCTGTGACATCACATAAGGTACTTCATCAAAGACAAGATACAGGCTCGACCTGAACACGTCACTTCTGTGAAGAATGCAAGTGACCCTCTAATGTGAAAATATGAAAACTCAACGTAGAAACTTTTCTTCTGTTCTTTGATTATTTGAATACTACGCCCCTAGAATCTGTAGTGACAAGACTGGGGTCCTCTCAGCTCGGGAGAGTTTGCATAGTGCTAATTAGCACAACTAGAATAGATTAAATAAAAAAAACTAATACTTTTCTTTTTCTCTTTTTTATCACTCACTCTTTCATGATAAGAAGTCAGACCTTTGTGCCCTGAAAAGTAAAGGCAGAATGCAAAGTTTTCAAGGTCTGACTCGAATAAAAGCCTGGAAAACGGTGATCCAGGTAAATGTTCACAGTCTGCAAATCTTTGAAAGTGGATTAGGAGGTAGATGTTATCTTATTCTTTTCAAAGCACATTTATTCATGGGTCTTACACGACTGATAAATTCATTAAATGAGTTTTTGTGATTTGTGCTTAGACTTTCAGACAACTGCTTTTGCTGAAGAAGTACACCAACAGTGGTATTTTGTCTATTAATCCAAATTACAAGAATGAAAATGAAGAAATTACTGAATAAAAGGCACCTGAGACTCACACTCGCATACTGGTGATGCATACTGGTATAAGCTGATGACTCCAGTCTTCAGGGATCAACACAAACACCTGTATAATTGGAACACGTTTATATATCTGGTTCGTGACCTGACCACAAATCATAGGTGCTTTAATTACACCTCACCTTCTAATCTTGTAACAGAAGTTAATTCAGTTCAGTTTATTTAAACAGCACCAAGTCCAACAGAAGTCGTCTCAGGGAACTGAGCAGAAACATTCATGTACATGCA